GCCCAGCCACTTAGCCTGTAGTCGCGTAGCAGAAACGGACTGACGTGAGGGTCAGTCCTGACCTTCATTGCATTCAGTGACCCCTCTGAGGCCCCCAGGATGTACGGGTGCTGGAAGCGGGGGCACCCAGGCCCACCTCAGCCCTGGCCTCTCTACAGACTCGGACGACAGCTACAGCCTGAGCTGCGGTGTCCCGGGCCTCCAGGGCAAGATGCTACAGAAACGCAACAGCACCGGCTCCAGCACCGGGTCCAGCTGCTCAGGTAGTCCCTGGCCTGTCCAAGCCGCACACACCTGCGGGACCCCTTGACTTTCCGTCCAGCACCAGGCCAGGGGGAGACAGAGGGGCATGGCCCAGGGAAGGCCTCCTGGCCTTGGGCCTGCCCAGTATGGCTCAGGGTGCCAGGGAGCTAAGAGCAAGGCCAGGACCCAGAAGCAAGCAGGCTGTAAGCTGAGTTCCAGCCCGAGGGCAGTGGACCATGGAAGGGCCCTTCCGGCTCTGGGCCGCAGTTCCAGAGTGGTTTAGTGACCCTAAAGTGCTATGGGTCTATGGATCTCAGATTCCATTTCAGTGAAGGGAGTCACATCTGCTTCGGCCACAAGGTTCTAAAAACTCCCAGAGTCAGAGCTCCCCTGGGAGACCATCCACCTGCCCCACCGCCCCCAGGAATACTGGAGGCACGCACACTCCCATGCACTTTGGGACACAGCCAGATCCCCTGCCAGCAGGAGGTTGTGCTTCGGCAGCTTCTCCTATTCAGGATGCTGGATTCAATGATATGCTTAATACATACATGATGTAATCCTAAGCTTCTGTGACTATAGGATTCTTTGGTCCAAGGGTCTGCTTTGCTCTTGGAAGGAATCAGCGGCTCTGGCATCTGTATCATTTCAAATCCCCTTCCCTTCCTTGCTTCCCTCTCTCGGCCATGCTGCCCCTTTTCCTGAAAGCACCAGCTGCATAAAGTAGCTCTGGTGATGGGGGAGAAGGCAGGAGGCTTGCCCTTCCTCCTCCACCGACCGCTGGCTGGATGGCCCCTGGGGCAAGCATGACCCCACCGTCCACGCTTGCACCTTTTTCAGGGAGAGAAACAAGGCGGCAGAGGTCCCCACCCACGGCTCCCAGTGGGTTTGTCCCCCTGGCAGCCCCCTCACACTCAGGCACTCCCTCCGCAGCCCCCGGCCCCACCACCTCCCTGCCCAAGGGAGAGGCCGCCACCTGGGGGGATTTGGACTTTCCCCAGGTGCCCCTGCCACCCTCATCAGGCAGAAAGCCCGGTTCAAGATTCGAGATGCCAAGTGCCACCTCCGGCCCCGAAGCCGGGAGCCGGCAAAGGAGGCCCTGAGGCAGCTGCTGCTGGGTGAGTGGGCCGCCCTGGCACCGCCCATACGGGGGGCGGGGGGAGGTCCCCAGGCTTGGGGGCTGGGAGCCCAGGGTCCAGCGGGGCTGGGTTTCCAGGGGTAGGGGCCTCTCTTTGTCCTCACCACCGTGGTCCCTTAGCCCCAGGAGCCACGCCTGGTGGACTATAGACAGTGGTGGTGTCCCTGGGGAAGAAAGCCAGCATTTGAGTGGAAAAGCATCCCTGGGGTCCATCGGCCCGCCTCACTCAGGGTTAAATGAGCTCCCCCAGAGCAAGGGCTTTCTGCGCAGCCTGGTCGTGTCCAAACGGGAGGAACCCCGGGCTCACTCAGCGGCTCTCTCTAGAATGAGGGTGGCCCAGAAGGGTGTTCCAGCCTGGGGGAGAGCCTGGGGAAAAGGACCAGGAGGAAAGCATGCCCGCTCTGTTTCCACGAAGATTCCCGAACACCTTAGGGTTCCTCCTCAAATGTGACAAACCTCGGCACCCAGCAGGCCTAACCTGGGCCGAGCGGCCCTGAGCTGGAGCTGCACAGCTTTGCTAAGGAAGATGCACGAAGTGCCTCACGTGCAGTGGTGTGATGGCCTCGGGAGGGCTGGGTGCGGGGCCTGGCTCAGCCCCGCCGGCCCTTCCTGAGACCTGGCCTTCTCCAGCCTCAGTTTCCCCGTCTGCACATAACTCTTAGGCAGGGCGGGACCCTGGCCACCAGCAGTCTGTGTGCAGGGTGAGGTAGGACCGTGCTCCCCGCCCCGTGCCACCTTTGCCACAGTGGCCCCTTCCTTGTCCAGAAAACTGCCACGTGACCTTTGTGACCCTCAAGTGTGACTCCTCCAAGAAGAGGCGCCGTGGCCGAAAGTCCCCATCCAAGGAGGTGACCCACATCACAGCAGAGTTCGAGGTTGAGACAAAGATGGAAGAGGCCTCAGGTGGGTGAGGAGTCCCCGCATGACGTGCTGAGGGCCTCAGCGAGGACGGAGGACTGGGAGGTCTGCTGGGCATGAAGCCAGGCTCCCACCCAAGCCACGGCTACCGGAGGTGGAGGCCAGCCAGGCAAGCGGGGGAACTGGCAGGGCTCAGGGCCGGGCCCTCAGGGCAGCTGCCCAGCCCAGGGTGGAAGAGGAGGCCCGGGGCCGCGAGAGGAGCAGGGCTGGGGCCCGCAGTGACAGCCGCAGGCCTCTCCTCACTGCTCCACGCCCTCACCGGGGCCTGGAGGGGCCCATGCCTGCAGCCTCCCCAGGACCGTTGGGCCAAGGACCTGCCTTTCCCAGGTACCAGCAGGGGCCTTGTTGGATGCTGGCTCGTGTTTCACACCAGCAGTTCCCTCTGGGCTGTAAATGAGAGCTGAGTTGTGACAGAGGAACAGAGATCTGTCACGAGTGTGTGCTGTGTGTGCCTGGCCCTGGACGCTGTGGAAAGAGGGGACAGATCCTTGTCCCCGCACTGGCGACACGGCCAGCCAAGGGAGACGCCGGGCGGCGGGCGAACAGGGCACAGCGCCGAGGGCCCTGCCCTAGAGAGGGGCCCGGAATCTCCCCCAGAGAGGTGCCATTTGAATCGGGACTTGAAAACAAAGCTCACCAAGTGGAACTGGTGGCAGGGATGGCGTTCAGGCAGAGCGAACAGAACAGGCAAAGGCCCAGAGGTCAGAGAGAGCAGGGTGTGTTCCGGAAGCAGTGAGGAGGGTAGGGCGGCCGGAAGGCAGAGTTCATGGTGAGTGTCGGATGCCGGGGGTTAGAGCTAGCAAGGCGGGCGGGGGCTGGACCACCAGGGGCCTGGGATTCAAGGCGGCAGAGCTGGATGTTGTCTTGGATGCAGTGGCAGCCTCAAGGGTGTTTGAGCAGCAGGCGGGGCCCCCATGAGTGAGCTGTGCCCTGGGCAGGGGACGTGTTACAGTGGCAGAGGCCGGGCTTCTACTCAGATCTGCTGCGGGGCCCTTGAGCGGCTCATACCTCTCTGGGCCTCGGTCTCCTGGAGCCTCAGTCTCCTGCTGTCAGACATTCGCAGCAAGGGCATCTTGACCCGGGGCCTCTGCGGGAAGGCTCTGAGCAGAGGCGCGGCCCAGCGCGGCGCCTGGCAGGGCAGCCTGGCGGAGAGACGGCTCGCGGCGGCGGGGCGGGGGGGTCGCGAGCTCGGGTCTCGCCCGCCCCTGCAGACACCTGCGAGGCCGAGTGCGTGCAGAGGCGAGTGGAGCAGAGCCTGCAGGCCGCCGTCAGGACGCTGCGCAAGTCCGTCAGCCGGCAGCACTTCTCCGTCCAGCTCGCAGGCACTGAGTACGAGGTGGCCGAGCGGCCAGCCAAGGCCCTGGAGGGCCAGGGGACGTGTGGCACAGGCCGGGTGCTGCAGGAAGGCAAATGCGGTGAGTCCCTGCCCTCAGCCACGCCGGTGTCGCCCTGCAGACTTTCTCTGTCCGTCCCTCCGTGTGGGCCCAGGTAAAGAGCCCACGGGAGACAGACACGTCGGGCCGGGACAGGGGGAGACAAGGAGGCCTGCCAGGGAGACGTGCCCTCGCACTTAGACATGACGGCTGCCATTAAAGAGCACGCCCCTGGCGCCAGAACCGAGTATACGTGTGACCCTGCCCGCGGTCCTGAGGAGGGGCGGCACAGCAAGGCCCCAGGCGAGGGGTGTGAGGGGCGCGGGACCAGTCCGTGTGGCTCGAGAAGCGTTCCCGGCGGAGGCATGTGGGAGCTGAGGGCAGAGGAGGAGCAGAGCGAAGACGCCTGGGAGGCTGAGGGCCCCCGGCGGGGCGGGGGCGGTGCTGCCAGGCGCAGGGAACGTGGGCAGGGCGGCCAGGTCCAGTGAACGAGGCTGGGGACCTGACCGGCCCCCATCCAGAGGGGACGGGTTTAGGGACAGCCCCCGGTGGCTCAGAGGTGAACTTGACTGGGTCCCGGTTCTAGTGAGGTTGACGACGGTTACGTGGGAGAGAAGGCAGGCAGCCACCGCGTGAGCGTATCCACAGGCCAGATGAGCGCTTGCTGGCCCCGGTGCCGCCCTGGGCGCGCTGGGAAGTGGTGGCCCGCGCTGAGCCGGCAGCAGCCTCATTCGCCCTCTGCCGTGGGAAGGCCAAGTGGGGGGCGGCAGCGGAGCGGAGACCTAGCCAGAGATGGTAGAGCCTGGAGCCAGGGGCCCCGGAGAGGCGGACAAGGAAGAGAGAAATTGAGAGCACGCTTTGGAGACGGAGGAGAGGGAAGAGGCTTCAAGGACGACTCCAAGGGTTCCGGCCACTTGGGCAGAGATGGCATCGTTTTCCGGATCTGGGAGAAACGTGGGGGAGGGGGCTGGCGGAGGCGGGGGTCCCAGCTGCCCTTGTTAGTCTGAGACGCTCGTTGAGTCGTCCTGGTGAAGGCGCTGACTGGGTTGGAGCCACAAATCTGGAGCACAGAGTGTAGCCTGGGCCGGAGACACAGGCTGGGAGCCGCCGGAGGGGAGGTGGGATTGAGGAGTGGGGGGAGGGGCGGTGGAGTGGGCACAGCGCCGGTTCCCCGCCAGGGGGGAGGGGGAGGGACTCG